ATTTATTAAATCACCCAAAAGAAATATGCAAGTAAATAAATAAATACTAATGATGGCTTTGTTGGGCATACAATTCTTTCAATCTCCCACTTGCACTCAAAGCCATTCGGATGCATACTTCAAACCCATTTTACTCAAATGTTTCTCAAATACCTTTCAAGTCAATGGTTTAGTCAATGGGTCTACAACATTATCTTCAGAGGCAATTTTTGTCAAATCAATATCTCCTCTTTTGACAATTTCTTTCACAATGTGAAACTTTCTTTCAACGTGCTTTGTCTTTTGGTGAGCTCTAGGTTCTCTAGCCTGTGCAATAGCTCTAGTGTTGTCACAAAATAAAGTTATTGGAGATTTTATGGTAGGAATAACTCCAAGCTCCAAGCTGCCTCTTTTGCTGCTTTCGAAGCTGCAATATATTTTGCCTCTGTTGTAGAATCTGCTATTGCAACTTGTTTACAACTTTTCCAACTAAAAGCACCATTATTTAAAACAAAGATATATCCTAATGTAGACTTTCTATCATCAGGATCTGATTGAAAATCAAAATCTGTATATCCTTCAACATTTAAAGGACCTCCACCATGTACTAAACAATAATGCTTAGTCCTGTTAAGATATTTAAAAATATGCTTAATTGCTGTCCAATGCTTTTCTCCAGGATTAGATTGATATCTGCTCACCACACTTACTGCTTGAGCAATATCTGGCCTAGTACATAACATTGCATACATCAAACTACTTATAGCGGAAGCATATGAGCAATTTTTCATTCTTTCTAACTCAATATCACTTTTTGGTGACATTTTCTTAGAAAGAGAAATCCCATGTCTGAAAGGTACAAAGTCTTTCTTGGAATCTTGCATGTTAAACTTGGCCACAATTTTATTAATATATGTTGATTGGGATAAGCACAACAGTCTATTGCTTCTATCTTGATAGAGCTCAAGACCCAAAATATATGTGGCATCTCCTAAATCTTTCATAGAAAAATGGTTAGAGAGCCATAATTTCACTATTAACAACATCCCTATATCATTCTCAATGAGCAAGATGTCATCAACGTGAAGAACAAGAAAAGTAATAGCATTCCCTTGTGTTTTCTTATAAACACATGCTTCATCTAGATTTTGTGAGAAACCAAACTGTTTGATTGTCTCATCAAATCTGATGTTCCAACTTCTTGAGGCTTGTTTAAGCTCATAAATGGACTTTTTAAGCCTACATACTTTATGTTCTTGCCTTTTGGATATAAATCCATCGGGTTGGTCCATATAAATATCTTCTTGAAGATACCCATTTAAGAAGGTTGTCTTTACATCCATCTGCCATATCTCATAATCATAGTATGCAGCTATAGCCAATAATATTCTAATTGATTTTAACATGACTACTGGAGAAAAAGTTTCTTCATAATCAATACCTTCTTTTTTGTTATAACCTTTGGCTACTAGTATTGCCTTATAAGTCTCCACTTTTCCATTTGGTCCTCTTTTTCTTTTAAAGATCCATTTACAACCAATTGTTTTGATCCCATTAGGACGGTCTACAAGAGTCCAGACCTCATTAGAATACATAGAATCCATTTCGAATTGCATGGCAATAATCCATTTATTTTTATCAATGTCTGACATTGCTTCTTTGTAAGTAGTAGGATCTTTCTCACATTCTTCTGAAATCATAGAATAATTCTCATTCAAAAAAGTCAGTCTTACTAGAGACCGAACAATCCTATTACTTTTCCGTGTTGGAACCATCGATTCATTCAAAATAGGAATACTATCTTGTATTTCCTTTTGGGAATTAATTTCATCATTAGGCTCCATTATTTCTTTAAGAGTAATCTTATTCCTCATGTTGCAATTGTCTGCAAATTCATTTTCCAAGAAAAAAGCATTCCGACTAATCATCACTTATTGCTCATTTGGATTATAGAAATAATACCCAATGGTTTCCTTTGGATAGCCAACAAAATCGCATTTAATTGTTCTAGATTCCATTCCAACTTGTCTGCACTTTGTTTCTTAACATGTGCGTGACAGCCCCAAATCTTCAAGTGTTTGACACTCGGCTTTTTATTAGTCCACATCTCATAAGGAGTTTTAGGGGCTGATTTAGTTGAAACTCTATTTAACAAATAAATTGCAGTTTCTAAAGCATATCCCTAAAAAGATGTAGGCAAATCCACTACACTCATCATTGTTCGTATCATATTTAATAAGGTGCGATTTCTCCTTTCTGAAACACCATTATGTTGTGGTGTTCTCGGTGGGGTAAGTTGAGATAAAATTCCATTATCTCTTAAGTAGTCCTTAAACTCATCCGAAAGATATTCACCTCTTCTATCGGAACGAAGACATTTAATATTTCTACCCTTTTGTTTTTTCACTTCATTGCGGAATTCTTTGAACTTTTCGAAGGATTCTGATTTGTGTTTCATAAGGTAGATATATCTATATCTAGAATAATCATCTGTAAAAGTGATAAAATAGGAGAACCCACCCTTAGCAGCATGGTTTATTGGACCACATACATCCGAATGTATCAAGTCTAAGACTCCTAAAGCTCTTTCACCTTTTCCAGAAAAAGGCAACTTAGACATCTTTCCTTGCAAGCAAGGTTCACATGTCGGATAGGATTCAATTTTCAAAAAGTCTAAACAACCATCCTTGACTAATCTATTAATCCTTTCAACATTGATGTGACTTAGCCTTAAGTGCCATAGATAAGTAGGAACAACCTCATCACGTTTTCTTTTGCTCAAAATATTTTCATGGAAATCCTTTTCAATGCATACAATAGAATTAAGTGCAGGAGAAAGAAAGTAAAGACCGTCTTGCTTAAAACCTGATGCCACAAATTTATTATTTAAACGAGTGGTAACAATATGTTTGTGAAATAAAAAAGAATAACCTTGTTCATCTAATTTAGAAATAGAAATCAAATTCCTCCTAGCTTGTGGCACATAAAGACAATCTTTTAAAAATAAAATAGTTCCTCCTTGCAAAACTAAATTAAAAGTTCTTATAGAAGTTGCTGCAACTTTTGCTGATGTTCCTAAAAGCAAAATGATTTCCCCTTCATTCAACCTTTTGGTTTCTTGAAAACCATGCAATGTATTACAAACATGAGAGGTTGCACCAAAATTAATACACCAAGAATTCTCAATTCCATCCAACAAATTAGTTTCAACAATGAGTAAATTTATTAACATACCTTCTGAAGGTTTTTTGAGTGAAGCTAGGTATTGGTGACAATTTCTTTTCCAATGACCTTTCTTTCCGCAGAAGTGAGACAAGCATCTTCTGATTTATCCCTCTTCACCTTTTTAGCATTGCCTCTAGGGATTTGTTTAAAACCTTTGTTATTCCCAAAGTTCCTTTTCTTGTTTTTATACTTTGGCTTTGAGGACTTTCCTTTTTCTGCTATCATAATTACATGCTTCTCTTTCTTAATTAGTTCCTCAGCTCTTTGCAACATATTACGAAGCTCAGGAAGGGTTACTACCATCTTATTCATATTAAAATTCAAAACGAATTGATTAAATGAATCTGGTAGTGAAGATAAGATCGCATCTATCTTTGCCTCATTGTCCATCTCAGACCCAAGAGATTCCAGTTCATTAATAAAACCTATCATCGTCATGACATGGTCATGTACTGGAGTTCATTCAGTCATCTTGGTGGACATAAGCCCTTTCATAGTAGATTGTCTTGTAGAACAATTTTGTTGTCCAAACATCTCTTTCAAGCTTGCCATTATATCCTTAGCAGTAGCCATTTTCTCATGTTGCTTTTGAAGCCTATTCTCAAGAGATGCTAATAAATAACATTTAGCTAAGGAATCATGGTCAAACCATAATTGGTAATCTTCTTGAGCATCTTTATCCGCACCTAGTTCAAGCATAATTGGTGGTTCTTCATTCAAAACATGAACCAACTTTTCAGCAGTGAGTACAATATTCAGATTCCTTTTCCAATCACTATAATTTGGACCTTTGAAACGATTCTCATCCAAAATCTTTGCAAGTGGGCTAAAGTTGTTCATCTTTCTACAAAGCAGTAAACAAAACAATTAGTAATCAAATACCATAATTTATTTTCATGCAAGAACCATTAAATTGGAATTTTGTATATTTAATGGTTTATCTCACTAGACAAGTTTAATAATCCCTTAAATATTAAACTATAATTATACATCTAATGTCTTTAGTGAGAAATAGAAACTTCATCTAATCACCTAATAACCTTTTTTGAAGTATATTAAGTATTTTAATAAAGCAGATACAACTTATTTATCTTATACTATTTATAAGATTCCTATTTTATTTGGCCTCAAATAGAAACATACCAGCCACTTGTTTCAAGTCGATATGCCCTATTAGTCAAGTGTAAACCTATTATTCCATATATATCATATTTACTGTGACAATACTCCCATTTTAGTTGATACTCCCACTAGCTATGACATATCTTTTCATCTCTATGAAATAAATAAAAAAAATGATAATTTAAGAAAAATTTTATCCTTTTGGCTTCAATTAATCATCAAAATTATTGACACTATTTATTAATAATGGAAGGCCTTTAGAAAATATCTTCACAAGTTTTTCTATCTCTAACACTTGATATTATTACGAGGGAAAACAATCTTATTATAATAAAACTAATTAAATCTATCAATTAATATGAGTGGAATGGTATCGACCCCTAAATAATGTGTCGACACTACGTCCGTGTTGGAGTTTTAGATGTTTACCATATGTTGTCGACACCAAAATTATGTGTCCACCATACCCGTGTCGGATTTCTTTCCTCTTATGCAGTTTTTTCATATAGGCCCATCAATGTTAATCTAGAGATTTCGAATCTAATCCATAATTATAAATTACGCATCCAGCATATGTCATAATATATCAAATTGGACAAATCAATGGTATAATCATGTGAAAGCCAAGAATTGAATCAATATAGGAATTTAATTACCAACAATGCATGAGTTTCGTAATTCTCGACAATGCATGAGTTTCGTAATTCTTGCGTATGAATGTATCCATGAATGTTCAACATATATATACCAGAACAATATGCAGAAAATTTTGTCGACTTGTTGCTAGAACATATTGAGAATTAAAACAATCTATTATGTATAGAAAGATGATTACAGAACATATGTTGCAAGGGTCGACTCTGATACCACTGAAGGGTTTATAATACACTTAATCAAATTAAGAATTATAAACAAATTATTAGTCCCCATGATATAAATATGTTCATGTAAAAATTAAGAAAACTCTCAGAGGTTCCACACACGCAAAATCCTCCAAATGTTCACACGCGATGCCTAAATTTTGTCTCCTAAAGAAGTGATGGCTTCTCCTCAAGAAGTGATGGCTTCTCCTCCCACTAACTTCTGTTTTTCTTGTAAAAACTTAGATATCATATTGACAAATCAATAGGTCTTGTATATAGGGAGCTTGTATGGTTAAACTAGAATTACAAATAGCATATTGCATGGGACTCCTTTTGGGATCTTAATCTCTTAGCAAATTGAATTTAAATCAATTTAGGATTGTAATAAAAAACCCATCAGTAGATAACAATCTTATCCAAGAAATTACAGATAAAATTGTGAGATCCCTCAAACCACAATATTTACATAATAGTCTTCCACCAACTAAAATTCCATAAAAAGTCTAATCGAATTAGAATTCTTTATAAAATTGTCATCGAACCTTTGTATGTGTGTCTCTTAAATATATTTAGACAATAAAACAATTTAGAAAATAAAATTTTTGATAAAATTTAATTTTCTAAAACTAAGTTAAAAATATT